TACAAGACAAAGCTATACGATGCAAGAAACTTTTTACATGTCATTTCTCGCCTCTGACATCATAATTCAATATGATATGACTGCAGAGAGACAACTGAGCCTTAAATGAATTTCTTGTATAGTTTATCTTTCTCTTTTTTTCTCTAACTTAAAAAAAAAAAGGCTAAATTAAGGAAGAAATTTAATTAAAAAGAATAGGTTTTTCTTTTCTTTTCTTTTTTTTCCCCCTACCTTTTTTGCGTGTGCGCGCACATGCGTGCGTGCATGTGTGCGTGCGTGCGTGCATGCGTGTGTATTATTGTACGTATCTATATTGACAATATTTTTAATATAAAATGTTGAATTTTATATTTTTATATGGATTTTAAACTTTTCATCCTCCCTCCCTCATTGTTTAAATGTTTTGCCTAATATAATGTATGAATATACAATTCTGCAAATTTTAAACTTTTTGTGGATTAATACAATTTTCCTATTTTTTGTGTATAATTTTGTGTACATGTTTCTATGTGTAACATAATCATGCATGTATTATGATATACGATGCAATATAGCCTGTGTTTCTCAAGTGACATGTACACAATAATGCTTGTAGGCAATGGCTTCAATGCAATTGGAAACGTGTACGATCAGAATTGTGTACGATATGCATACAAAGTTTCGAGAATATGCATGTACATATGTTGTAATATGTGTTTGACATTGTATTATTTAACATGTTGTTTTAAGCATGTTATTACAATAAATATCATCACATATCTCAGTAGTCGAAAGGATAAGATGCCTCGTAAGCAGGAAATCTAGATTTGATCCTCGCTGAGATGTGATACTTTTCGTAAAAATAACTAAAATATTACACATGATGTACGGAAGACAACTAATAAATCACTATTTTCCACTACGTGCGTTTGGTACAGTGCGAAGGCTCGAGAGATGCTTAGGAAGTATAGCATTTTTATAAAATCTGTCTTCTTTGTGTTTCTTTTTTTTTATTTTCTACTCTTTTATTCGAGGGATAAGAAGGGGGGATGTGCGTTGCGGCGGGGCCTGACCATGAACCAGTCGTGAAAATTCGCAATTATTATTTTTGCGAAAAATATCACCTCAGCCAGGAATCGAACCTGAATTTACTTATCGAATAGGCATCTTATTCTTTCGGCCACAGAGACGTGTGATGGTATCGCAATAACGTGTTTAGAACAACACGTTAAACAATTCAATGTTATACACATATATACATATATTGCAATATACACATATACATGTATATTCTCGAATTTTCATGACCAGTACTTCTTTTATTTCTACTTTCTCTCAAAGGAGGTCCAGAAACAGTATTATATGAAAAAAATTATATGTTTGAAGAAGTTGTAGAAATTATTAGTCTCCCAAAAAAAAATAGTTTGTAATACTTCACCCAAGACATTCTTGTACATTTCATTTACATAGTTTACATTGAATGTGTTACAGATGGATATTTCTGATGAGGAACTGTTTGATGCAATACCAAATTGTAACTCTTTAACAAACATTGGTTTGATGGAGCAATCGAAGGATTTCATACAAGATCCAATTTCAGAAAAAACAAACAAAAGTATTATAACTAAAGATATTTCAGTAAAGCTTACACGTTTGTCAAATGATAAAGCAAAAACAGAAAAAAAAATTTGTTTCCTCTTAAAAAGAGGAGACGTTTTGTATGGAAATTTGGAACCGTGCATAAGAAAACAAAAAAAGCAGCATCTGTAAAATCTTCACAAGGTTTCCGAAAGATGGAATTGGCTACCGAAGTTACTTTGGGTATATCAGAAGATAGGACAAATGAGCGAATACAAACAAATTCGTTTAATCAAGCATATATAGAAGGAGAATCAATCGGATATGTTCAACAGGCTGAAGAAGCTGCACAGAGTGATACTGAAAGTTGTATTATATTGACACATCGTACACAGAAAGAAAAAGAAGACGAAAAAGAAAAGGACGACAATAACGACGATAACAATGATACTTATGTATGCGCACGTGTCATACCATATGATTCTTATCGTAAAAATAGCATTACATACTTACATTCTAATAATCCAGTGAATTCCGATTCTTTATTTTCGCTATCATTAAACGGAAACACAGTGAATTCCGATTCTTCATCTTCGCTATTATTAAACACAGAATCGAGTTTGTATAATGAATCTAGTATGATTCACTCGTCTAAAGCGAAAAGATTAAATCGTAAAAGATTAAAGTTTAAGGCTAAAAGAATGCAGATGAATGAATGGAAGTTTAAGAGAAAATATATTTCATCTGATAGTGAGATTGACGAGATTCCTGTATCGAGGAAAAGACCTCGAATATTGTCGTCGGATGACGATAATGAAACTGTAACTATAAATAGTACGAAAGTGATTGAAAATAGTCATAATGAAAATAGTCAGAGTGAATCTCATTTGCTTTTTGAAAAAGAAATGGATATACAGATTAGTCGCGTGGCACGAGTTACTTTAATGAGATTGGAAGATATGGATGATGAAGATGTTATTAAATGGAGACACAGTATAACGAACACTTCAGATGTGATTGTATCTGAATCAGTAGAAAAAGAATTGGATCAAAGTAACTTATTGCAAAATTTCATACCTTTAGAATCTTCAGAGAAATCAATTTTGCTAAAAGAAGATAAGTTGTTGGAAACAAAAGATACTTCTATTTCTTTACCAATCACGTTGAAATCTAATAATTGCGTTGAAAAGCATCACACAAAATCAAAGAATTCCTTGCGTAAGCTAAGAAAGAAATACAAACTGTTCAAGAAACCGAGAGTTCTAATGATAAAATTGGATTATCTAAAATGCCATTCTGAAAATGGCAAATATTCGGCGACTATCGTCGATTATTTAACAAAAATATATGTAAATACTGTAAGAAACTCTACCTTTCAACATGAATCAAAGATATATAAACGCGTGACCTTACGAAGAAAAAGTATGATAGATCTCATGGATCATAATATAAGTTCCAATGCGTCTGAACAACAAAATATGAGCATATTTAACTCATGCATAGAAGAAAATTCAATAAAAGGTATAGTCCTTCAAAATCTGATTTTATTTAATTTAATTTTTCTAACAGTTATTTTAAAAATAATTTTACAATTATTTAATTTTGATATTTTAATTTTTGTTGCAGATGCTCAAACCATAGAAAATTATGATAAGAATGCCCCATTCATAATTCGTAGGATTGTACCCATGCAAAATAAGAATAAATCCTCATCGCCAGAAAAGTCTGAAAAGAATAGTGTTTTGTCGCAGAAACGTTTAGAGATATGGCGTAACGCGTTTCGCACATTAATGATCGAAAATTTACAAGAAATCCCTAAGCAAGCTTCTAGTCAGTTAACATCAATGTCGAAGAAATCGATGAATGTAGAACATGAAGATGTTTCTTCCACTTCCACATTTATGTCTTTCGAACCAGTCGGGTCTCATGCCGATAAAAAACATGCTTCGTCGAAGAAATCAACAGAAACATCAGTAAAATCAACAGAATATAAGGATACATCCAAATCCGAATCACCCAATAAAAATCTTCGACAACATACAAGTATTATAGCAATTTCTAAAAACGACTTTTCTCAATCTAAAGACAGCACTGTTTCCAAAAGCCCGCGCAAAAGTACTGAAGAGGCAAACATTGTTATATCGAATGCTTCTTCAAATTCAAATAACAAGACATCAGAGAAAACATTATCAAAATCATCTGAGAAAGCGAATAGCTTCGAATCAATCAATGATATGACATTCACAAAATCGAAAATCTCGGAAGTGCGCTGTACTAAAGAGTCGCCACATAAAGTAGAAATAACATGCAAATGCAGCATATGCGGAGTATTATTTAAGAATTCTGAACTGCTATTAAAACATATGACTTTGAATTCGCATAAAATCTGTACAGTTTTAACTTCTACGTCTAAACATGTAGAAGATGAAACGGTTGTAGATAAGAACTGCAGACGCAATTTGGAAGATTTAGAATCATTGATATCGCAACAGCAGCAACAGTCTTCTTGCATTAACGAGAAAGATAGTTCGTGTCAACTTGTTGATTTCAACAAATCATTATCATCGTCGTCATCGTCATCGTCATCATCGTCATTGTCATCGTCATCGTCATCATCATCATCATCATCATCATCATCATCATTGTCATCGTCATCGTCATCGTCATCGTCATCATCATCATCGTCATCATCATCAAGAGACGTTGAAACGCAATGTGAACATTCCTGCACGGAGGAAAGGGAAACTCGATTAACTGCAGTTAAATCGACATCGAAGTCAAAGTCGAAATCAAAATCAAAGTCGAAGTCGAAGTCGAAATCCAATCTGAATCTGAATTTACCAAATAAGGCAAAAATGATAAAATCTAAAAACAATAAGTGGGATTCCTCGACGAATGTTAAATTAAAACGAACGGTTGCATGCAAAATTTGTTCACGTGTCTTTAAAAATTATCCTCAACTACTCCAACATATGTTCAAGCATATGGCCAACGATCTCCGAAATATGTACACGTCGATCGAAAATGAGATTACTTCTACACATCAAGAGCATAGCGAGAACAATGATCGACCTTCCAGCAATACAATAGAGAATTCGATAGAAGCAGTTTCGATGGAGGAGAATGTTGAAGTAACTGAAAATACTACTGAGCAAGAGAAGAATCTATTGGAGAATACAAATAAATCCAGTACAGAGACTGCTATTGCTTTGGAAGTATTATATGATGCATCGAAAAAAACAAGTAGAGTTTTGAACTCAGTGGTGGCAGAACAAAATATAGAGAAGCAATCAATGTCTGCAGCGAATAAAGCACAAAATGTAGAGAAGGAAAAAACGAATGTGGCTGAGCCATCTTCGGAACTTCAGTCAGTAAAATCCTTCAATATCTGCGAGTGTCACAAATCTGAGATAACTGAGGTATCTAACATACAGATTGAGATAGATTTGTTTTGCACCACTTGCCAAACGCTGTTTCGACGCCTCGATTGCTTCGAAGCACACTGCATCCAAAATACTGCGAAAGGTACGCTTTGCAACAAAAACCGACGACGCGGTAGGAAATCCAAACTGTTTTGTGTTAAATGTCAGCGAGTACTGAATTCTGTCAAGGAGTTACGTCAACATTTGTCAACGCATACTCGACTCAATCGCCAGGGCACAGCATCTTTCTGTTGTAATATATGCAAGGTAATCTTCTACGGTTTCGGAACACTTTTCAACAATCATTTCCAAAATCACGAGAAGAACCCGTTTTTCTTGGCTAGCCGTCTCTCGTTCCCAAGACCCGCTTATATCGGCTCGAAAATTAATCAGCTATCAACCGCAGACAAATCGGCAGAGGTTTACATGCAAGTAGCTGATTATGTATGTCGTGAATGTAGAACGCCTTTCGTCTCGGCACAAGATCTAAAGTTACACGAGGCACTCTGTCAAAAGGCTTCTACCATCAGCGATCCTCGCAACAGATCCTCTAACAGCAGTAGCCTGAGTAACACTGTCAAAATACCGATTCTATTGATATGCGGTTTCTGTAACAAAACATTTTATAACAAGACGACTTTTGAGCTGCACACGTTAGAGCACAAGAAAGGAGAGCCGCATTTACATTATACTTGCGTATCTGTTACTGCCCTGGCGAAAGTATACATCTGCAAAGTGTGTATGTCTATGTGGCAATCTTTACAAGATTTCGAAAAACATTGGCAAATTCATGGTGTACTTCAGGAAGATTTCGTATGTTCTCGTTGTCAACTTCATTTTGACAGTGTCGAGTTGTTTCACAAACATGCGATCAAGCATAAAAGCAACGAGATTCATCAAATGCCAATTACGTGTGAAGTAATCTATCGTGATATTAGTAACCAGGATTCTGAGAATTCGCGAAGAAACAAAATTATAAACAATTTACCTTATGTAGATCTAAGTTGTTTTGATGACGGAAAAGAAGCTGAGAACACCACAAACGATAAGTCACATGAATCACAAAAATCACAAGAATCAGTTTGCAGTTCTGCATTGCAGAATATAGTTGAAAATCTTTTGTCTGAGAATCGATTCGCGGAAACCGAGGTAACATCAGAATCAGTAACAATAACACCGGAATTAACAAAATCCCCCAATAAAGAGAGACAAACAATTAAGCAGGGAGTGAATGATTCGTTCACTCGTACTTCGGTTCAAGTTGCCTCCACCAATGTTACAGTCGCACACTCGAAACAAAACAACATAGAAAACGATTCTGATAATGATGATGAGCTAACGATAGTATTGTCGGAAAGTGAGGAGAGTTTGGTGTCGGGTGAAATTGAGAAAACAATTGATAGCTCGCCTTCTAGGCGTAAGGATACACAAGAGAAGTCAACATCTACTTTTGTTATTGCTGATGGGCAAAAGACACGTTCCAATAATACGGTTTCAATTAACGCATCTACGAAAATTACCAATAATGCTAATGGAAATTCGAACTTAAGTACTCGGAGTAGCGTAATAAGTCCAAGGAAAATTGCGACTAGGCAGATAGATGTTAACTTAACAACGGAGACACCGGTGAATCATGCAAATAAGATCCTTGAAAGTAGCACAGATCAAGCAGATATTACATCTTCGAAAGATAAGTCCAAGGAACCGTTACCGAAGAACGCTATGAGTTCCATACCTAAGACCTTCCTGCGTGTAAAATCTTTGGCTGAATTGATGAATGCTGCTCCATTGAAGAGTCATATCTGTCTAGTGTGTGATCTCTCATTCGACTCCGAGCACAAATTGAAGGAACACGTGACGGTGCATAATATTCTGTCTTCTCAAGACAGCCAAAGTAATCAAGCATCTTCACCCAACAAAATTTGGCCAAGGAGATCGATCTCGAAATCTTCTATGTTCGATACATCAACCCAGGAACATAGCCTTCCTCCTTTGGTGGCGATCAGTGCGCCTCTATCTGTCAATGTGCGTCCACATACACCTACCCATATAATTGACAAATCCCGGCGGTATCAAATTATCAATGTGAGGTCATTGAACACAAACGAATCTGATACAAATGTGAATGCATCAAAACAAAAAGAGGCAGTACCATATGAAACCACATGTATTCCGTCGTCGAACAACGTCGTCACTACAATACATTTACAAAATATCCAACCTAAAAAAACGGCCTATCATCAAAATTTACCGCCTCATATTGGTCAACCATTAAATAAATCTGTGCAATCTGTTCAACAACAGCCGAATACTGGCACTGCAGCTATTAAACCGTTCCTGCGAACTTATCAAGGACCTAGGTTGCCGCCACCGCCTTATCCGGAACAGTTGCAGCAGCAACAACGGCCACAACAGCTGCAACAACAACTACAATTGCAGATACAAGAGTTTCTGCGTCTTCAGCAGGAACAGATGCAGTCACAAGAACAGCAGTTACAATCGCAACAACGGCAAATACAGTCGCAACAGCAGCAGATACAGTCGCAACAGCAGCAGATACAGCCGCAACAGCAGCAGATACAGCCGCAACAGCAGCAGATACAGCCGCAACGGTACCAGATACAGCTAGCAACAGCAGCAGATACAGCCGCAACAGCAGCAGATACAGCCGCAACAGCAGCAGATACAGCCGCAACAGCAGATGCAATCGCAACATCAACAACAGGTACAACAATTGCAGCAACAGCAGCAGATACAACAGCTGCAGCAACAGCAGCAAGTACAACAGCAACCATTGAACAATGATAACGTTCTCCATTATTTAATTTCTAAAACAGGTATGTCTTATCAATTGACACCCACCAAAGCAGTCCCGGTGAAAACAAATTCGGACAACAATATGTTTGTAGCCGTGAACACGATGCAGCAGGTCTCGAAGAATCCAGATCGTTTTGTTTGTATATATTGTCCAGGTTTCGAATGCGGTTCGGTACAAGAATTTACATTGCACGAGCATTCACCAAAGCACGAAGCTCGTAGTCATTATAATGCAATTCCGTATATCTCGAATATAAATAATCAATAAGAATCACACTTTTTTAAGTCTCTCGATATGAAGCATGCGATGAGTAATTGGTTCGTCGGTCATTTATATGAAGCGATGTTAGGAACGATGTTATAATCGTTCTATCCGATGGAATAAATATTTTATTTTAATCCTTTAAATCGTACAAGTTTCATTACTATGTAATGAAGCACGATGTAATGAAGTACTGATAGCTCTATGCTGACTCCATTAATGATGTACATAACGCTATATATATAAATAATGATGCATTCTTAGCTGAATCGTGAGAATTATATTGAATAAGATTTTGATCATCTAATGCGATTGTAAATGTCCAATAAAAATCGCATTTCCTTAATACTTAACTTTTTAAATATGAAATTGTAACATGGAGTGATGTTTCTTTATTGATTTTCTTCTTCGATCTATTAAGAGAGTGTAAATCTCTGCAAAGAGACTTTTTTAGTAATGTCATTTGCTATTTGAAATCAGAAATATTGTTTCCACAAAGTTACGACACCAAATTAAACAATTTAGATGTTTTCGGAAACGCAAAGAGTTGAAAGGTTAGCATTTAAATTAGTTTTACTGTTAATATTTCTTGTTCCTATTACTAAATGACAATGTTTGAGTATGAACGTTAAACGAAAATAGGATATTAATAGGATATTTCGAGATGTTGAAATAAATGATAGAACGTATCTAAAATATGTTTCTAGTGATTGTATTTTTTTAAAGAATAATCGAATCAGTTTTTATAAAATAATTTTGTAGTTGATTCTATTTAAAATAAAAAATCCACCTCATGTTTTTGATTTCTTAATGAAAGATTCCTTACTAGGTGCAAGATAACTTACTTATATTTATATTTTTCAGAATAAGTATGCGTCATTAGAAAATATGTTAAGATAATAGTTATTGATTTATTACTGCAATTATCGCTGTTATTAGCATACAAATAGTTTTGACATTTTCGAGATGTTAACGATACATTATCTTAAATTTTTTTTACCGCATTGTATATATTTTTTTTCTTTAAAATTTCTCTAGTAACGAAATTTAAGAAATATATACATATATATATATATACAATTAAAAATTTAACAATATAGTAAATAATATTTAAATATTAAATGAAAATTTTTCTTTTCCGAAGCCATTTATTATTTATCTATTATGTATTTTAAATCGTTTTTACTAAGTATTGCAAGTATTTTTATATTTTTCACTTATTAAAATATATTGAATTGAAATATTACATTATTTGATGCAATGTTTAAATAATTTGAGTTATGTTTATATCAGAGAAAAAAATCTTAAATTTTCCTATTGTTAGTAATTTACTAACTATTAAACTGAACATTTACTTAAAATTAGTAATGATTATAATTGCACGTTTCTTTTCTAATTCTCAAAATAATGGATAAAGAAAATAAATGAGTTATTTTCTTGTGATTTATTAGATTGCACATAATATTATTTAATAATTATACAATCGTAAAAAATTAGTTTTTATTTATTAATTAACTAACTGTATTGTTAATGATTCAAATACTTTCCGTAGATAGTTTTTTCATTAATCATGATTGTGACATGATATGACATGGGCAAAATAATGAAAATTAAATAATTCCTTAATTTTTCTACGGTCCGATTATTTATTATAGTCACTCCAGCTTATCACATGTACAATACTTATGGGAAAAGTATATTTAGAATAAAATATTTTTTAAAATAAACTATATTGTTAAATATTTTAATAATAATCTGAAGTTTCAATATTATTGAGATTTCATAAAATGTTATTTTAAACTCTTTTTATAAGGACTATTACACATTTACAAATGAACATTGTTACATAATTCCATATTTATATAATAAAAAAGTAATAATTTCAAATTTACAAATATATTTATTTATAATATCCATCTTTACTGGAACAACGCAGTAATTTATGAAATATTCATATTTTCGTGATTATTAATTAGTCTAAAGATTAAATTTTAGGAGACATATAAAATGTTTGTCAAAAGAAATATATACCGTGCTTAATTGTTTCGAATGTTTTCGAACCTTATTAAAAATAGAAATAATCCAGTATAAGATACAAAAGTACTAAAAAATTGGCATTATATATTTTGGAATATTTTTTAAATGTATATTTTATTGTGAATTCTTATTTTTAAATCAAATTTATTTTAGATTTGAAAGTAACTTTTTCAAGTAACATATATTATCGATGAAGATTCTTCAACATCTGCAATAAAAAGGTCACATCCGAATATTTTCGTAATTTTCTTATACACGCAACATTCATATTATGAATTTTTATACTATATAATATTTATAAATAAATATTTATTAAATATTAGAATGACATTTTTGAACAAATAAGCTGGGTATAATACCAATTTTATGTTACTGTCATATTGCCGAGTTAAAGTTGAATAGATAATTAAATATTTTCTAGAGCCGAAACTGTTATATCGCTGTTAGATGTTTTGAAGACTAAACTTGATAATATTCGAAATTTCATAATAAAAATAATAATATTCAAATATTCATGACAAAAATAATTTTTATCTATTTAATAAGTAATATGTATAATTTCAAATGATTAGAAAATGTTAAACTTGATATTGCAATTTTTATTTTTAACAATGATAAACAAGAAATTATGTATTCGATCTCATGAAAATTAAATGTAATACGTGCAGTCTTTCAGATGCATTTTTCAAGTTTATTATATAAATAAAAATTGATAAGACATTTAGTAGTATGTCGCGGAAAATAAAATTTTAGGAAAAAAATAATTTTCAATATCTCTTCAAAAACAAAATTCTATCGGAATTAAAATAAAAATATGTAATGTTAAATTATGATAGTTTTGCGTTTTAAAAGCATTACATCACAAGATGAGATAGAGAGAGACATGATGTGATATAAGTTGAATAAATGCGACAAATTGTAAATAATGCGATTATGAAATATTTCTGAATAAATATAATTTTTTGCAATTTGCGTCTCCTTTATTCGGCACTTTGAGCGACATCGTTCATTACAGTGATTATTACTCTAGTCTTTGCGATTGACAAATACTGTGATAACACTAGAGACTATTATTAATGCGGATGACTTATTATGATGAAAATATCTAAGAACAAATATCAGGTGAAATTCCAAAAAGGTTTTTCTTTCTGATCTTTATGGAATTTGTAAAAATAAGTAATAAACGAGAGTTTATTTTATAAAAAATTTTTTGTGGAAATGATTTATCGAGATAATATTTGAAGTAAATATTTAAATTAGTATTTAAGAGTGCATAAAGTATCTTGTATTTTTCGTATAAACAAAATTTAGATTTCATGAAAAAAAATTGAGTTAAAATTTTTTGTTTAAGATATCATTGTCAAAGAAGAATCTTTTCGGAATTTTGTTGCAAATATCGGACGTTAACATTTCTCGTCGATCTTTTTTAATATTATAATGAACAATTCTTATATCAAGGCGAGCTTACGTAACTAACTTGTACATCAGCTGACCGTATTTGCCGAAAAAATTCAAAGAAGTGATCGTGCAATTATAAGCCGTGTGTATTTTTCTTAAATTAATTTTCATATTTAATTGAATTATTATACTTCATATTAAAATTCTAAATTTTTAACGAATTTTTAAAAAAATATTCCGATTTTTAAATTATGCAATTGATTTTCAGTAAAACAAGAAGGATTAGATTGGTACCAAAATCAATTTTAATAAATTGAATTTTCAAATAAAGCAGCGTAAATTGAATTTTCAAATTAAAGCAGCGTTATCGACTACGATTGCTATTTTTTTTTTTTTCGTTAACCCGAATAACCATTTTCTCCACGGCATTGGAATTCTAATTTATCGAAATTAGAGTGATCTATAAATTTTTTCTCATTAGATCTCTCCTCTTTGACATATTATCGGTACGGTCAGACCAATGGCATTTTCTTTTATCTTACGTTTTGGCACATGATTCACGTGATTGCACAATATATCGATTGCGTAATTTATTCGAGGATGAATATACTTATCGTACGTACTACTTCTTAACGATGTATCGTGTAATACATGATATATAAATGCGTACAGTACAAAGAGTATTTCTTACAAAAGTTCCGATGATCGCATACACACGTACGACAAAAGCTAATGCTTAAAGATCTGCGAAGAAGCTATATAGATGTATAATATATATACACACTGGTGCTATATATACATACAAATTATCTCTTACAGTACATCGAATATGAAAATTCATGTAGGAATGATAAACTTATTACGAAAATATAATAAATCGAATTTTCTATGATAGCAAAGAAAGCGAATGTCTTCGAAATGAAGTGACAAAATATTTTTTAATAATAACTCTACATCGATATCGCCAGAGTTAATTTTTTTAATATTAATATTTATTCCTTCAATGGAGTATTAATTAATAGTAAAGTGAAAAAATGCTTGGAAGATAGGAACATGCGTTGTGCGATCACCGAATCGCGATTTTTATTTATTTTTAATTATTCTACGTTAAGAAATTAAGTACTATGAAGAACCCTCCGAGTTCTTCACGAGTCGATTAAGTCTCGAATGCTCGTCTCTTCTTATGTTTAATAATACTGATGCAGGTATTCGATGTTCATCTTTCATCATTCGCTATTTCACATCGTGCGCGTCTTACAAAAGTGCGTAGAGAATCTAAGAATGCAATTCGAGTATAAAGTCTCACTCATTTTAAGTTATTACGATCGCCTTAGTCTACAGTCGTCTAAATTTCTAAAATTTAATGCTCATTTACACAGGAAAGGTATACAAATTAACAACCATGTGTAAGAACGACATTATTGAAAACGACATTATTTTTCGCAAATTTCGTGGTTTTCACGTTCATTTTTACCTGATTAACGGAATTGTAACCGTTAAAGCTGCTTTCGTTAATTCGCTATTCGACTTGTTTTACTTGCGACAGCCTGATGAATCTCTTCGAAATTAGCAGGAATGACAACGAATCAAATGTCCACATCACACGTTGTGTTCTCCAACGGCCTCGGTGATGGAAAAAGTATCTGCTATCTATAAAGTACCTTTGCGATGTAAAAGTGTCCCACTATTTACATCGGGTGTGATTATCTCTAAATATTATTTTTATGCATTCATTCCTTCTAGATATAGTATTGAGCTCGAAGGGGGGAACATTTCCCGCTAATATAGCACGGATTAACCGCCGGATAATCCGCGTTTGTAACTATACTTGTACAATATATAGTTATGTGTGTTGTGCTATACAATACTACGGAGCTAAGATATATCGCGGTGGAAAAATATCGTACTTTCTTGTTGGCGTATCGTAAATTTGCACGTGACACTCTATGGACGTTCCGTTGCTGTCAACGACGTAAGCTCCGCTCGGCGGAGCTTGCAGCGTCGTTTTCCTCACGACCGCGCCTCATCGGGTCGTAATCTCTTCCTTTCTCCTTCTCGGACTAAACTATGGAAACGACAAATGCATTCTTTCCTATATACGTGTTACACTCGGCGCCATGTAGATGTGCTTTATCACACGAGGTTTATTTTAGCATGACGCTGAGCCCGTTAGAGGCGAGAGAAATGGAAGTAAGTTCTTCGAGAGCTGCATAAATTTATTGAAATGAGCTCAGTCTTTCGAAGTCTTTTGAGAATAATTTATCGAAACAATATGACTAAGCATCTACGATGAAGATATTTATATTGCGAAGATGTACAAACTTATTTCATTAATTATTCAATAATAATCGATTTGTATTATAATTGCTGTAAAATTATTTTATATGTTATATCAAATTGACACTCTAAATTTTATCGATTCAATTTATTTTTAATTGGATTTTTCTTATCAAATCAAATTTGCTTCTTGGTGAATTCTGTATGTATGCTGCAAGAATTTTGAGTGCTTTTTATTCCATTTCTCTCGTCGTAATTTAAGATTCTCTAATACAGATGTTGCACATCTTGTTTCTCTTAAAGTATTATTATTTTTATTAATTTAGTAATTAATTGGGTCTTAATAAAAATCTAAAGTTATTATAAATGTGCGTCAAAATCTTGTTTTTGTTTGTATGCGTATATACGTGAAATATATATATGTGTATGTGTATAGACATGTGTGTACAAAAAACTGTTAATATCTGGTATTTATTTACGAAATAGTCGATCCTCTTCGTTTTTTTTTTTTTTTTAACAAAACAAAAGACCGCTTAATTTTCTTATTTCAAATTCAATGTTGCGAAATGGGAGATCTGCGATTTGTACAAAATCGGTTACATCACCTACGAATTATTGGTTCTGTAGTTGTCAGTCTGAAAGTTGGTAAATGGATCCTATAAGCTATAAAATTTATCTCTAATCTCGCATTATACACAAAAAGCTTAATTAATCGAGGAAGTGTATCCTTACAAATAAAGTAATGAAAAAAAATTACTTGTTTGTAAGAAAGGAACAAATTTGCTTTAGTAATATTACTTTCATTTACATAAAAAACAACACCGAAAGACACGCAACAGATAACAAAATACATGTAACGATACATACAAATATAAACTCTAAATGATTAGGAATAAAATTCAAGAAAATCTTCAAGATTACAAAATTATTATTATGAATTTCTAATAGCTCGTTGTTTAAAATTCATTTTATCGCGGCAAAAAATTTTAACGTCACTACCTGGGAGATTTTTAAAAGAAATAAATAAATGAAGGTTATATAAATATATATATATATATACATATATGTTAATTATAACGTTCATCAAGAGTTATATTGACAGTGACCTTAGTGTGTTTTCATTTTTACGGTCGATTAGTTTTGTTGAACACTGTTACATTATTGAATTCTGATAGCCTAAGTCTTAAACATTTTTCTTTTAAAAACTATTCTAGCCTCGACGTTACAGTAATTAAGTTTTCCATCTCGAAATCATCTCAATAATCTGCCATTAACTGTTGTCACGCGAAATCTTTGACATCCTGTATAATAACTTCCCCTTACAAAGTAACTTTCATAAGATTATCATATATTTCATCAACTTGGATCTTCGTGAATAATGAATGTTGTACTTGAACCAAAAAAATGTAATATAATAACATAGCTAATAATAACGGGGCTTATAGGACACAAATTATTATAAATATGTGAGCGTGTAATGCAAATTGCTTCGAGTCTGTAATACAAAACACTCTCAGTATAAATTCTATTAATTAATCATGATATATGCTGAGCATCTCAATGATTGAAAGACGATCATATATTTTTTCTACGCATATATAAATTTGTGTGATGGTTCTACATAGAATCCATCGTACAACAAACGTGGAATTTCACGATTGAGCACGTCAGGAGAGTAATGGGTTTTATGATTGTCCTTGTTGCTTTCGCGTTCTCCAAATGTGTCTCAGAGCAGGGATGTAATGGGACAACTGATGCAAGAGGTTTGTTCTCCATGACAAATATAATATCGAAAGTAAAATATTTTACAGATAGTATTCTCGCTCAAAGCTATATCATTCTTTTCATTTGAGAAGTTTTTTAATGCCCTTTTTTACAAAAAACCCCACGCTTTTAAATTTGCTCTTCATCTCTTCTATCCAAAAAAAGATGATACAATGACGAACGGAAAAACGACAGAACCTTTTGCAACAGTCGGACATGCCGATTTCGATCTTTGCGTTCGACAAGTGGAATAGGCAAGTATTATTTCCAATTCTGAAAATTCTAGCCGCGAAATCCCGCTTTAGAACCTGCTGACAGCCTCGTCATCGGTGACGAAATAATTGGAGCTCTTCGCGGCCGAACTGTACATGCTGTAGGTGGGACTGCAAACGATCAGGCTGCTCGTGTTGCTCAGCTCCGTTTCGTTTGTCATTGACGAGTGCCTGCCGATAGTGGCCAGCCGCTTGTCCTTTCTTGCTAACGTCATACGGCAGTCCTCCGGCCTTAGCGGCATCGACGGGTAATTCGGCTGTCTGGCGAGCGTCGTCAACGCCGATCGGTCGCCCGTGTCATTGAAGCTGCGCAAACGTTTGAGAGCATGACCGGAGAGAGTGTTCAATGAACGGATCTTTTACGAATCTTTTACGGATTTTTAACTCTTAAGTTAAGTAATTAATTTTTCTTTTCAACTCCTTAAGTTAAGTAATTAATTTTTATTTACGTCTAGTAGTTGATTTTTATTTACTGTAAGATATTATTTTTTCAATCAAGTTTCATCGCGTCTGTTATGGAAAATTATATTTTTATTTGTATTTCGTAATTTTCACGGGATGATTTGATTCTTCTTGATTTGCCATATAAACTTAGAAATCTCACGAGATAAATCGCTAAAAAGAACTTTAATATATTTTTTTATTTGCAACACATTTTTATAGACACATCTCTTTCTTTGTTTGTTTAACAGACAGAAATAGAATACGAAACTATATTCTAGTAAAGTAGATCAAGTAAGTTCTTGTAAATCAAGAAGAGAAGAACTTTGTTTTATCTAATTTTCAACGGTAGATATAATCTCTCTTGTATCCAATTTCCACAGTGGATATAATCTCTTTTTACGCGCAATATAAAAGTGTGTGTGGAAATGTTACAAGAAACTAAGTCGAGAAAGCTCTGAAATTCTTTGATCTAATTTGCGTTCCCTCATAGATACCTGTGATGCCGCACGATGCCTCTCTTTATCTTGCAATGCTCGTTTCCGCTTTGTCCCTCAGTCGCGGTGCCATGGGTTTTACATGCCCCTACATGCCCCGGCGTCGATGGTACGGGGGACAGAGAACCCGGTCCGTACGAGCCGCCGCTTTGTCTTCTGTCCAGAATGTTGACTAACTCCACCGACGGCGTCGGTGAGAATGTGCCCTGAGGACACGCGACACAAAAGGCCGTCTCATGGGAGCTATGTGCGGGAAGCTATGGGAAATCTACTTGAGTACACACGCCAAGAATCACGCCGAGAGATTGCGAGATCACGCGGATCTCTTTGAGGACCCTCCGCTTTCTGAGGGTCCTCGTACTCTCTGAGGATTCATTGAACCGTCACTATTTTTATTGCTGTACCATTGACAAGTAATCAAATATATATCATAAAGATAAGTGTGTAAAATTCAATGAAATAATATAGATAACAACTTTTTGCCTTTACTACCAAACGCCAGTAAAATTAAATATGCATTGCTAATGAATCTTTTCTTAACATTCGCAAGAGGAAACTGTAATATTTGCGAAAATAATAAATTAAGAAAGGATAGAATTTATCAGCAAATAAGATTAAATATCACAGGCAGAAACTATGTGTGGGAAATATTGGGGAATATTTGGGATTTTATGAGGGATTCTCTAAGAACCCCCTTAGGGGTGTCATCTTTATTCAAACAACAACCGTACCGCTGATAAATAAGCGAACAATACACATGCGTAAAACCAGTGAATAGAATTTAATAAAATAACTCATACAGATAACTGAGGATACAAAACAAAATGCGCGCAAAAATGAAACGGCGGCCCGGCTCGTCGTGAGCTTCATAAAAGCGACGATTCGTGGAGGTCGTCCCTCACCTGCAGCGACGGTCTCCGTAACGTGCCGCCCTCCATACCGACGAGCTTCACCCCCTTCACGCTCTTTCTGGGCCCGACGCTGGCCGGCGGGTTCTCTTGAGCGTTGTACTCCATGTTGCTTCTGTCAACGATGCTGATTCCGTCCCGCGGCTTCTCGCTGCTCGGCCCGAGCTCGCAGCCGACCTTGGCGTAAGAAGGGGCGCACGGGGTGATCGGAGTCGCCGGGATACCGATCGACCGCGTGGGCGAGAGCACCTGGGAACCAAGGGGGCTGCGCAGATTCCTCACCCCGAGGATCTGACCTCTGTCGGTCTGTATCGGCGTGTACTGATTCGCCACGGAGACGTGCCGCGCCGGCGTCTGTATCGCGCTACGCAGATTCGGCAGATTCTGCAGATTGTGATTAGCTCGTTGCACCGACATCCCGACGCTCTTTGTCTTCGATAAATCGAGGACATCGTTTGCGATTACCATCTCGCCCTCGCCACGATCGTCCTCGTGGCTGCAGGTTCTTTCGTCGTCATAAACGCCATCGCAGGAGTCTATCCCCGATGTTGATTTCTGAAAGAGATCGGCGTGTCATCGATCGACTAAGAATGGACCAAGCGAACCCTCTTAAATTCCTATTTACCGAGGACGAATCCATAAGGGCGGCACCAGAGCTACTTTGCATAACGCCCGACGATTCTTTGGATTTCCCGGGCGAGTAGATGCTCAGCACGTCGCAGCATTGTGGAAAATAGCCCTTGCCAAGTAAGGTTCTAGCGAGGAAACTAGTGAAGAGTTGGGTGAAAAGAGCAATTATCATGACGGCGGTGCGAAAGGGAAATTTCTGAGTACGTGTCTTCGTGTCGTAGAACGGATATTCGATCAGCGGGAGTATACCGAGACCTCTTTCACCCCCTGAAAACGAAACAATTAAAAACTAATAGATTTCTAAAAGATATTTAGAATAGCTATCTGAAAAAATTGGAATTAGAATTGAACTTCCCAATCTTAAGATACAAATTATAAAAATTAAAAGAATATAAAAGAAGTATTAAACAATATTAAGATTGTTAAGAATTTCCGATTCCTTAAACAAAGCAAAATTCGAAATGCATTTAAAAAACATAAAGGATACAGAAGTAATTAGGGCAATTTTGTATATGATTACATAATAAAAGAAAGCAGAGTCTTTAGAGATCTGTATGATATTCTATATTTGCATTGTCCGAGTAATAACATTCGAGAATTAGAAATTGTTACTAACCAGCGAGACGTAGAACAATAGCAATGAAATATCCCGCCAAACACCCATAAGTGTCCACCATAGTGGGCCAATGAATAACAGCTAATAGTTGCGGGAATAGGACGACGTAGACAAGATCGGAGCACAGGTACCTACGAACAAAGATGCGACATGTTTTTATATATTTTATACATTAATTGTTACAACATTGTTACAAAAAATACTAAAATTTTCAAAATGATAAATAAACTAATTTCATAAATAGACAAGTAATGTAAATAAACTTAAGATAAAAGTAAGAAGTAAACATTAAGAAAAGAATGAAATTGTTGCTCAAAAAAGAAATAGTTCTAGAATTCTTTTTATTAAACGTCATTGTAGTTTAAAAATAATTTAATTTATGTTATAAATGCATTTATTTAAAGTATCGTTGCAAAAAGATTATCGCAGATAGATGTTTGTCATAAATAAATTAGATTTGAAAAATTAGATTTGAACACATTTACTTACGAGAGATAGTAAACGCTATTGACCGTAAGAGCGACGAGAGTGGACAGTACAGAAACCGCGATTACGGAAATTCTCAGAACCCAGTTTAATTCACGCTCGGACGCCTGTAAAATAAAGGAGAAGCTTCGATAACGTCTTCAAAGTGATGCCGATTAATCAACGCGATTAATTAACGCTAAGTTACGCTTACTTTTGGCCGTATCGTGAGCTTGTAGACATTCCTGGTAAACATGGAGCTACTGGCAAGTATACTGGAATCTGCCGAGGACATCACTGCCGCCGAGATTGCGCCAAGACCTTGCAAAATTAATTTACGAAGAATAAGTTTGAAGTTCGACTTTACAATTGAAGAAGAGTGATGTAACTTTAAAATATATTAAAACCAACCAACGAACGATACCCATTGGGGCGTGAGATACCGCAAGACCATCGGCAACGCGGCGTTACCGTCATCCGTGGAAAACGTTCTGTTGTAACCTGGAACCAGGCTCCAATCGGTAGCACGAGCGACTACCCCAATGACGGCCGATGGTACCGCGAGTATCAGACAACCAAACATCGAAGCTATCGATAGAGTCGTTGCAACGGAAGTGCTCTTAATACTTAGGATTCGTTGAAAGTAGCCCTGAAAAAGGAGATTTATGTGAATAAAGAATCACGGTTTAAACTATTACTTTTCAATAAATTTTAATAAATAAAAATAAGATAAACAGAAAGGATTAGCTATAATTATTTATATAACGATTTTTTTAAGATGACACACTGTCTCTCTCTCTCTCTCTCTCTCTCTCTCTCTTCTTCTTCTTACTTACTACTA